GAGCTGAAGGTGGACGCTCAATTGACTGAGCCACCCAGGCACCCCTACACTTTATTTTTAAGTAGTCTCTATACCCAATGTGGGGATTGAACCCACAACCCTGAGATCAAGAAATGCATGCTCTACCAACAGAACCAGCCAGGCGCCCCCATTATTATTTCTGTTAACAACATAGAAGGTGAGAAAAAGTTTGAGATGCTTTCTTTTCAACTAAAATATTTCTGCTGTTGTACTGGGAGTTGTTTTTCTTAGAGGCAATTGCCTTTTCTAACAGGGATTGAAGGGCAGAGAAGATTTAAGAGATAAGGGATTAACTATTAGCATGGAACAGGAAGTAGAGGAGCTTTTCAGTTTCTCTTAATTATTTTGTTTGTTACTGTACAGACCATCAGACAAGACCATGTGCTAATGTATAAACAAAAATGACATTCTATGGCCAAATATCTTTTGGATTACCTATCATTGGATAGGTTTCATATTATACCTTACTTCATAATGTCCAGATTATTTTAAAAAATGACTTTACTTCTAATACAAGATTGAGCCTTCAACTGATACTTGATCCCTATAATGAATAGCCCAAGTAATGCTAAGTAAAAGAAGTTGTGTACTTATTTCTCCTTTCTTTTCTTGGAAATGTATTTCTTATGTTATCAACCTCTTATGGTGTTCCTGAAAATAAAAAAAAAATCTAAAAACTAAAATGCGGGGGCGCCTGGGTGGCTCAGTCAGTTGAGTGTCTGCCTTCAGCTCGGTCATGATCCCCGGGTCCTGGGATCCAGCCCCGCCTGGGGCTCTTTGCTCAGCCGGCTGGGAGCTTGCTTCTCCCTCTCCCTCTGCCTGCCACTCCCCCTGCTTGTGCTTGTGCCATCTCTCTCTGTCAAATGAATAAATAAAATCTTTTTTTTTAAAGATTTTATTTATTCATTTGAGACACAGAGATACAGAGAGAGAGAGAGCATGAGCAGTGGGAGAGGCAGAAAGAGAGGGAGAAGCAGACTCCCTGCTGAGCCAGGAGCCGGATGTGGGGCTCGACCCCAGGACCCTGGGATCACGACCTGAGCCGAAGGTAGACGTCCAACCATGTGAGCCACCCAGGCACCCCTAAATAAAATCTTAAAAAAATAAAAAATAATAAAAACTAAAATGGAGAGAGAAAATTAAATAAGGCAAATTGGAAATATGCCCCTTAAACAATTCATGTGGCTTTTGTGCTGGTATATAGACTACCATATGATATAATGAATTTAAGGAATAAATTTGTTGTGGGACAAAAGAGAAAAACCAATATCATTTATTCATTTAGAAAGCATTTATTAAATGCCTGGTAGTGTTAAAGAATGTGTAAGGAGCAAAATATAGAAGAACTATGTGTTTCCCTCTGTAAATTAGTCTATTGGAGAAGAGAGATAATTAGTGATCTTTGCAAATATATTTCTATTAGCTCTGGTAAAAGAAAAGAATAAGCAAGATCTTTAAAAAGTGTAAAGACCTTGAATTTTTTACAGGATGATATCAAAAATACTTAACAGCTGTTAATGCCACCAACCAATGAAAAGTTGGTCACCCCAAATACTGGCTGAACACTGGCCCTGGTTACATTACTTAGGGGTTTCCGCTGATAGTATGTGGAATGGTAGTGTAAAAACAGTCATTCTAAATAAGTTTCTTTTTAAGTTGTTGGTAACAGATATAAAGTTAGTCTAGAAATATAAATAGGATTTGAGAAAAACTCAGCTAGATTTTAAATTTTTGATATTTTTCATTTCTTAATTTTTATCTTATTTACTTTATAAAAATTTTTTAGATAATACAGTCACATGATTAAAAAAATCAAAAGGTACAAAAGGCTATTCAGCTAAAGGAGTCCCTTCCACCCTGTCCCAGACTCACAGTTCTCCCTGGGGGAAACCAATATTGCCCTTTTTTTTGTGCATCCTTCCAGATATACTATGTATATAATTTTTTTAAAAATTTACTTAGGTAACAGATATCCTAGACTGGAGCTTGTAGGCCAGCACAAAAAAGAACTAGTGACCAAGTAAGACAACCAAGAATATTAAGAAATAGTATTTTAGGGACACCTGGGTGACTCAGTCATTAAGCGTCTGCCTTCGGCTCAGGTCATGACCCCAGGGTCCTGGGATTGAGCCCCGCATCGGGCTCCCTGCTCAGCGGGGAGCCTGCTTCTCTCTCTCCCTCTCCCACTCCCCCTGCTTGTGTTCCTGATCTCACTAACTCTCTCTCTGTAAAAAAAAAAAAAAAACACAAAAAACTTAAAAAAAAATAGTATTTTCTATTAATCTTAGTGCAACGGACTGAATGTATCCCCCCAAAATTCATACGTTGAAACCTAACCCACAAGGTGATGGTACTAAGAGGGGGTTGCTTTGGGAGGGAATTAGGTCAAGAGGGTGAAGCCCTCATGAATGGGATTAGTGTCCTTATAGAAGAGACCCCAGAGAGCTCCCTCTCCCCCTCTGCTATGGGAGGACACAACGAAAAGACTGCCATCTATGAACCAGAAAATGGAATCTCCCCAGACACCAAATCTGCCCATGCCTTGATCTTGGACTTCCCAGCCTCTATATATGAGAGATAAATTTCTGTTGCTTATAAGCCACCCAGTCGATGTGTATTTTGTTATAGAAGCCCAAACTTCTCTAAGACAGTTACTGAAACTCCTAGGAAAGGGGATCCTGTCCACTGTTATATTCCAGGTCAGAGATGCTCCCTTAAGGAAAAAGCGTTGACTATATGCTTTAAAGATGGGATATTTCAAGTTGATTACACATAACAAGAGTTAAGGAATCTAAGTATAGTTTTTTAAAATTTTTAAAAAGATTTTATTTATTTATTTGACAGAGAGAGACACAGCAAGAGAGGGAACACAAGCAGGGGGAGTGGGAGAGGGAGAAGCAGGCTTCCCGCCGAGCAGGGAGTCCGATGAGGCGCTGGATCCCAGGACCCTGGGATCATGACCTGAGCCGAAGGCAGACGCTTAACGACTGAGCCACCCAGGCGCCCCGGGCTTTCTTATTTTCTGATATGTGTATATCAGATTGTAAATTTTCTCTGAGTACAGCCACCCAGGCGCCCTATAGTTTTTTTTACAAAGTAATCCTGATTTCTTTTTAAAACTAAGATATAGTTCACATGCCATAAAATTTGGCATTTTACATGTACAATTCAGTGGCTTTTAGAATAATCAGAAGGTTGTATAGCCATCACTGCTATCTAATTCCAGAACATTTTCGTTATCCCCCAGAAGAAACTTTATACCCATTACCATCAATTCCCCAGCCCCTGGAAACCACTAATCTATTTTGTGTCTCTATGGATTTGCCTATTCTGGACATTTCATACAAATGGGATCATATGATATGCGGCCTCTGTGTCTGGTTTCTTTCATTTAGCGTATTATTTTTTAAAAAGATTTTATTCATTTATTTGAGAGAGAGAAAGAGAGAGCGTGTGCGTGCGCACACACACACGGGGGAGGGGCAGAGGCACAGGGAGAGGGAAAAACAGACTCCCTGCCGAGCAGGGAGCCCAAGGTGGGGCTCCAACCCAGGACCCTGAAACATTGACCTGAACCAAAGGCAGATGCTTAACTGACTGAGCCACCCAGGCCCCAGGACCCTGGGATCATGACCTGAACCAAAGGCAGACACTTAACCGACTGAGCCACCCAGGCGCCCCTCACTTAGCAGATTATTTTTAAGGTTCATTCATGTTATAGCATGTATCAGTACTTTATTTCTTTCTCTTACCTTTTAAAATTTTCTTACCTCTTAAAAATTTTAGTAAAACATATGTAACATAAAATGTACCATTTTAACCATTTTTAAGTGTACAGTTCAAGGGTGTTAAGTACATTCACACTATTGCACAACCATCCCCCCATCCACCTCCAGAACTTTCTCATCCTCTCAAACTGAAACTCTGTACCTATTAAATAATAATTCCACATCCCTTGGTAATCTCTATTCTACTTTCTGTCTCTATGAATTTGACCACTCTAGGTACCTCATGTAAATGGAATCATACAGTTGTTGTCCTTTTGTGTCTGGCTTATTTCACTTAGCATATTGCCTTCAGAGTTCATCAATATTGTAGCTTGTATCAGAATTTCCTTCCTTTTTAAGGCTGAATAATATTCCCTTGTATGGATAGACCACATTGTGTTTATCCATTCATCAGCTGATGGATATTTGGGTGCTTACACTTTTTGACTATTATGATTAATGCTGCTATTAACATTCATGTACACATTTTTGCATGACCGTATATTTTCAATTCTCTTGGGTGGTAGAGACAGGTGGGGCCATAGAGGAATTTGATGAGTAGTTAACATAGCTCAGAGACTAATCATGCCCCAGGGAAGGACAATGATCACTGGGACTCTGTGTCTCCTTTGAGGAAAGGGTGAGGATGCTTTCAGTTGTATAGAGGATAGTTGTGTCTTGTTAAATAAAAGCATAAAGTTGTTACAGTTTTCCTTTGGAAATTTAAGTACAGGTAGAAGGGTGTGTAAGGTTGCTAAGCAGCCCAATGGATGAACTGTGCTAGTTACCAAGCTGCCATCTCAGATCCAACTCCCCTTTATAAATCCTACTTCGTGAGAGATAGAATGCTATTTTGTGAGTATAGAACCGTTATTTTTTTTTTTTTAAAGATTTTATTTATTAGAGAGAGAACGAGAGATAGAGAGCATGAGAGCGAAGAGGGTCAGAGGGAGAAGCAGACTCCCTGCTGAGCAGGGAGCCCGATGTGGGACTCGATCCGGGGACTCCAGGATCATGACCCGAGCCGAAGGCAGTCGCTTAACCAACTGAGCCACCCAGGCGCCCCTAGAACCGTTATTGATACATACAAAGAGTACCAGTCGAATTTCTCAGGCAATGAGCGATCACTTATTACTTTATGTTCAAACTGAATTCTTTGGGCTCTATGATAATGTGACATAATAGAGAAGTAACTATATTTTAAATGGTTACCCATTTTCCAAGCAGAGCTCTTCTTTCTTCAAATACCTACAATAAATAAAAAGAATGGAATGATTTTATATTTCATGGTTCAAAATACCCATTATAAGAAAGATATCATTAAAGTATCAATAAATAAAAATTGACAGTCTTTTCATTATATGAACTGAGTATAAAAAGACAGATTTCATTCCTGAGAGGGTACTTTACTTATTTTTAACTTGGAGACAGTATCGTTTTTCTCAGTTTATCCATGTGGAATAATTCATCTTAAAGAAAAAGCAGTGCTTTTTTTTTTTAAAGGAAAGAATAAGAAAAGAATGGAATGGTAAAGTGAAACCATTTTTGGAATTTGAAAGGAGATGAAAAAACGGACAAAGGAAAAACAGGAAAATGGGGATCCTCCCCCAAATATCAATAGTATGACAGCCTGTGAAATTTATGAATGAGCAGCTCTGTTTTTTATATTTCGGTGTGCACACAAATCATGGGTGTACATGCACTGATATGTCTGTAGGATTAGAAATTTGTGTATGTGTACCTCTGGGCTTACAACTCAGTGTTTATCTGGATAGGCTTGTTATTATATACTAGTTAGCACAGACACCATGTCATTTTTACATCTCTACTGTAGAGTACATAGCATATTACAGGTACGCCTCTTTGCTGGATTGAATGAATTGGTTGTGATAAGGAATATCCTTACGGAGGTATCGGTACAATGTGAGTGGATTTCTATATTAGTGTAGAGGTGTTTTTCTGAGCCTCAGTCATATGTGTATTTGAATGAATGAGGAAAGGAGACTGATGGGAGAATGTTTGGCAGAGGAGGGAGTTATGGAGAGAGGAAGCAAGGGAGAGTCATGGACAGATGTGAATGCCTCTCTCAATCCCACACTCAGCCCCTCTTGTCAGCTTTCAAAATTGGGATTGATGTTTTTCCCTTCCTTTTAGCATTGCCTAAATTCTCTAGCGCTGTAAGAATGTTCCCACTTAGAGACTAGCTAAGGCTCATTTCTTTCCTTTTTATGGGGGAGGAGCTGGTTTTATGCTTCTTTTTTTTTAAAGATTTTATTTATTTATTTGACAGAGAGAGAGAGAGACAGCGAGAGAGGGAACACAAGCAGGGGGAGGTGAGACAGAGAAGCAGGCTTCCCGTGGAGCAGAGAGCCCGATGTGGGGCTCAGTCCCAGGACCCCAGGATCATGACCTGAGCCAAAGGCAGACGCCTAACGACCGAGCCACCCAGGCGCCCCTGGTTTTATGCTTCCAACAAGATAATGCTTTCCTTCCTTTTTTAGGCTCTCAAATGCTAGTTTGAAAGGGCATACAAAAGGGGGTTTGAAATAATTGGTTCAACAACAATCTCAAGGCCAGTGAAACATCACTTTTGCTCCTGGCCATAGAATCTCCTACGTTACAGGTAGACACTTTTCTCACATTAGAGAAGAAGAAAAAGGATGCCCTTCTCCCCTGCCCCCTATTAACCTTCACCTGGGCTATTAGGACCCTCACATAATGGTACAGATAAACGTGGGATTTCTGGATGAAAAGAGAAGAGAACCTATAGAATATAGAAGATTTAAAAATGTGGATTCAGGTATTTCCCGAACTCTTGCCCTTTGTCTAATGAAAGTCTATCAATCATATGTTGGTCGATCCAGGTCACCAGCACCAGCACTTCTCAGATGCCCAGGGGCTCTAGCTCCTCCCAACTCATATTCCAGTTATAGCCCATGCTCCACGTGGGCTTTATAGGGTTTGCTATGGCTCTCTCATTGCCTCTGGTCATTTCATCTTCCCATGTGGATTAGAAACACTTTCTCTATAATCTGTCTAGGTTGCAAGGCAGGCCCTCAATAAACACCTGCTGACTGAACAACAAAAAAGCTTCAAAAGTCATAGCATTTTAGAGCTAAAAGGAACCCCTAAGATCTTTTGAATTTCCTTATTTTAGAGAGGACAGGAAGAGGCCCAAAGGCTTACATTTATAAATTTTTTTTAAAGATTTTATTTATTTAGGGTGCCTGGGTGGCTCAGTTGGTTAAGCGACTGCCTTCGGCTCAGGTCATGATCCTGGAGTCCCGGGATCGAGTCCCGCATCGGGCTCCCTGCTCAACAGGGAGTCTGCTTCTCCCTCTGACCCTCCCCCCTCTCATGTTCTCTCTCTCTCATTCTCTCTCTCAAATAAATAAATAAAATCTTTAAAAAAAAAGATTTTATTTATTTATTCATGAAAGACAGAGAGAGAGAGAGAGAGAGAGAGAGAGAGAGAGAGAGGCAGAGGGAGAAGCAGGCTCCCAAGGAGCAGGGAGCCCGATGTGGGACTCGATCTCAGGACTCTGGGATCATGACCTGAGCCGAAGGCAGACGCTTAACCATCTGAGCCACCCAGGCGCCCACATTTATAAATTTTTAAAAATCACTGGTTCCAGGCTGTCTGTTCAGCTCAACTCTGTACTGGGTTCCTCACTAGAACCATGGTCTTCCCTAACCTGACTTCCAGCTGTACATTTGCAATAACTGCTGGGTGAAGAAGAAAATGTTATGTCCCAAGACCACAATTTCTTTTTAAAAGGAGGATGAGATGACCATCATGACACCCAGTGACAATATGGGGTACTGGAAACAAAGGGGCATTGACTTGAAGAGGAGAGGAAAGTTAGCGAGAAGGTAGCAGGAAAGGAATGGGGTGGGAGGTGGGGAGTGTTACTCAGGCAAAAACAGTAGTTTTTTGTTTTGGTTTTTTTTGGAGGGTGGGGAGGGGCAGAGGCGGAGGGAGAGAGAGAATCTTAAGCAGACTCCACGCCCAGTGCAGAGCCCAATGCGGCACTAGGTGTCACAGGTCTGAGACCATGACCTGAGCTGAAATCAAGTCAGATGCTTAACCAACTAAGCCACCCAGGTGTCCCTAAAACAATAGTCTTTAGAGGGCCAATGACCAAGTCTAAGCAGGTCCAAGCAAATTCCATTCTTACAAAGGCATCTAGACCCAAATAGAAACTGATGGGAGTGAGGGGGAGAGGAAAACCAATAGACAAGCTCAGGCCTGGTTCTGACTCTACCCTTGCAAGAAAGAGAATTTGGGACACATTATTTGTCAGGGTCTCAGTCAGTCTTACATTCCCTGGTTTGGAGCAAGTCTTCCTTCCAAAGATTTGCAATCAGTTTGTCATCTTAAAGAGCTGGAAAACAAAGTATTGATTCAAAATAGAAATATAAAATGGATCTTCTTTCCTCGCAGAGCACTGCAGTTTGTTTATATCACAGTTTACTTGGAGCCTGCTGTTAAGTCAAAATCCTACGGTTGTTATTTTAGTCTGTTGACAGCGCAGTTACATATTTCACCATGTGACATCATTACAGTATAGGAGTGAGACATTTAGGGGCTCCTAAAATATGACTGATTAATGGCAGTGAGGTGCTTTTTCTCAGAACACCTTTTAACATGTATGGTACTACATCTCGAAAAAGAAATGTTGGTTACTTTCAAGTAAAACACTAGATGGCAGGGGCGCCTAGGTAGCTCAGTCGGTTAAGTGTCTGCCTTTGGCTCAGGTTATGATCCCGGGGTCCTGGGCCAGAGCCCCATGTTGGGCTCCCTGCTCCGCGGGGAGTCTGCTTCTCCCTCTCTGCCTGCCCCTCCCCCTGCTTGCACTCTCTCTCTCTCTTTCTCTCTCTCTCGGTGTGTCAAATAAATAAATAAATCTTAAAAAATAAATAAAACACTAGATGGCAAAGAAATGCATACTTTAAAAACATTCTTCCTCTCAAAATTCGTAATGCCCAAGTTATTTTGAAATCTGTTACATTTGCCTATGCTGATCATGCTCTCTTTGAAGGCATCTGAATTTGAATTCAATCTCTCCGCTTCAAGCCTGCTGTGAAGTTCAATTCCTGTACCCCGATGAGCACCGAGTGTTGTATGGAGGTATTGAATCACGACATTGTACACCTGAAACTAATATGACACTGTATGTTAACTAACTAGAATTTAAGTAAAAACTTAAAAAAAAATCCTGTGACCCTTTTTAAGATTGAAATAGTTACATATTTTATATTTTACTACAGAATTGAAGAAAGACAAAATTAAAACAAAAATAAAACAGACAACAGAACCTCAAAATTATACCAATCATTGGTGACACATGCCCTATTTAGAAGTATAGAAAAAACCTTGAAATTATTGTATGGACACCTTCTGACCAGCTATATCCTTGGTGTCTATTTTTAATGCCTTTTACACAGTCAGAATGTTAGATCTGGAAGCAACCTTTGAGGTAATCTGATCCAACATACTTATTTTACAAAGGAGGATGGTAAAGCCCAGAGAAAATAGGTGACTTACTCAAGTCATACAGGAGTTTATCAGTGATCTGGAACAAGAATTTTCAATTCCCAGAGTTATTGTTCTCTCTTTACTTTTATTTATATTGTTTTTAGATTGTTTTCAAATTTGGAATTTTAGAAATTGTATTGCACTATGTAAAGTAAAAAATGAAAGCTTTCTTCTTACAGGACCACCTCCCCCAGTGCCATCCAACTCTTCTGGGGAAACCACTATTAATAGTTTGGTATTGGGGCACCTGGCTGGCTCAGTCATTAACAGCATGTGACTCTTGATCTCAGGGTTGTGAGTTCTAGCCTCACATTGGGTGTAGAGATTACTTAAAAAAAATAGTTTGGTATACCTGTATACAAATTTTATGTGTATCTATGTACACTTATACATATACATACATGTATATACACATGCACAGATTAAGAAAAATAATTTTACTCCAAACCAGAACCTAACGAAACCACAAAATAACTTTTTGATAAAAAATGAGAGGTCTAGGAGCACCAGGGTGGCTCAGTTGGTTAAACATCTGACTCTTGATTTTGGCTCAGGTCATGATCTTGGGGTTGTGGGATCACACTCTGGGTGAGGCTCCTCGCTCAGCAGGGAGCCTGCTTAAGATTCCCTCTCTCCCTCTCTCTCTCTCTGCACCCCCCTTAAACCAATAAATCTTTTTTAAAAAATGAGAGGTCTAAAGAACAAAATAAATATTATCTCTAGAAATTATTATTTCAAGACAAAAGCTATTAAAAAACCAAGATAAGACAATGTAATGCTGGCTGTGATGCACTGTCCAGGATTTATTCACCCACTTGGTGGGGAGTGCTGCTGGCTGTCAGCCATGAGCTTGAAAGCTCGACTTTGTTCAAGGTCAAGCCCTTCATGGGGCAGCTAGCATCTACTGAATGGAGTGTAGAAGTATATTTTTTATTATTTATTTATTTATTTATTTATTTATTTATTTATTTATTTATTTATTTAAGTAATCTCTATACCCAACGTGGGGTTCAAACTCACAACCCTGAGATCAAGCTAGCCAGGCGCCCCCAGTATGGAAGTATAAAGGCTGGTGGCTACAGGGTCAGGCCTCAAAACCCATAGCCATTTCTCCCCTCCCCTCCTCTTCTCCCCTCACCCACTTCTCCCTCCTTCCCTTCCCTTCCCTGGTGCCAATCCGGAGAGCCCTCCACAATCGATGCCCTACATGCTAATCTCAGAGTCTGCTTCTCTAGTAAACCAACCCGCAACAGGCAATCAGGCAATTAAGATACTTTTTTTTCCTCCCTATCTGCTAAATCGATCAACACTTCAAATGTTTCAGAGAAAATCTCTGAAATCAAGGCATCCAACAAATAGGTATTTCAATTCAAGTCACTTTTTTGCGTATGTGTAAAGCCTTCACAATTTTAGGAGAAAACAGATTTCAAAACTACACACCGAAGTTTTTTTAGGGGGTGGGGGGCAAAGCAGAGAAGCCGTTATATAAACTGTTGGACTGCCAAGAACACTTACAAACAGGTGCTCAATAAACAGTTGTTGAGCTGAATATAAAGGGCTTTCAGCAGACTCGCTTGTGTTCAGGGCCAGATGAAGGCCAGACGTCTGTCTCCCATTCTCTGCCTTTCCTTTTGTTTCTCCTGGCCCTTCCTCTTATTCTATGTCTCATTCTTCTTTCCTCACTTCTTTTATCTTTTCCTTCTCAGTCTCTCTCCCCTTTATTTCTCACTATTCCGATCACTACACTTGCTGCTCTCTCTCTCCCCAGATTGCTCGTGTTTCACATCCGAGGAGTAGAACAGGAAAGTACTGAACAGGAGGGGTGGGGACTGATGCTCTTGTTTTCCCAGGGTGATTAGCATATCTGTTCGGTGTAGAGGCAAGGGGTCAAATCCAGACTAAGGAAGGAGGGACGGAGGGACTGGAAGGAGAGCGTCAGTGAAGGAGGTCCCAGGGAGGGCGGCTGAACCCTGACTCCATCTTTTGTGCCTCAGGAACTCTATCAGGCACTGGAAATACAGAGAGAAAAGACAGAATCTCAACTCTTGACACATTACAGTCGAGTGGGAAAGTGGGTAAACAGTGATGAGAGCAAAGGGAAGCAAGCCAGAGAAGGCTTTCCAAAGAAAATGACCTTTGAGTTAGCTCTTAGGGGAGGCAACAAGGGGAACAAAGGAGTGGGGGTGTGAGAGAGTATGGCTCATCTGGAGGCCACTTAGCTGTTCGGACCTAGGATGGGAGGAAAGCAGTGGCAGGGTTTGGAATTAAAAGGCTGGCTGAGGTCAACTTACAAAAGGTCCCCTGTGCTAGGTGTAGGGGTTTGGAATATACTCTTTGGAGCAGAGTCTGTTATCAGTTTCTCATTAAAGGATTAGCATGGTATTTTATTTTTTTATTCTATTTCTTTTTCTTTTTTTAGTTTGGTATTTTAGAAAAATCACTCTGGGACCAGAACAGAAGATGGACTGGTAGGGATAGAGGCAGTGAAACCAGTTAGGGGTTACAGCGGTGCATCAGGCAAAGGGTAATGAGGGTATGAATCAACAATGTGAAGCCGGAGGCATATAGATGAATGAAGGAAAGGGGCCCAGAGGAAGAGGAAGACTTTTAGAACTTGAAAATGAATTGGATGTGGAAGTGAGGGGGTGCTGGTAGACACACCTTCCTGAGCCTCCTTCTCCCACTCCTAAATGTCTTGGAATACCAAGAGTGCTAGGTGTCCATTGCTTTTTCCTTGGGCAATTTCTTGCCTTGGAGCAAGGCAACCTTGAGTAATGAGGTACTATCTCCCTTTGGGACCAAGAACAGGTTCTTACTGCTTACTATAAAAGCAAACGATTCCCTGTGCTCACTGTTCTTCAGTTGTGATGCAAACCCATGTGTATGTAGTATTTTTCTGGGGCTTCTGGAGTCTTGTGGGACAAGGTAGGCAAAGAGGACCAATGCAAACATGATGCTCCTGCCACTTGCTGCACGGTGAGTAACAAAGATTTTTGTCTCTGATCCAAGAATCTTGTGTTTTCCTATGAAACGGTAGTGTCTCCTATGCCATAAGTAACAGGCCAAGTTATTAGCTTGTATATTGGGGAAAACCAACCCAGGGCTGGCAGGGAGAAGGATAATTTCCGGCTTGAGTGACTTGGTGTCAAGTGGTGCCTTTTACCAGGAGGAGGAACTGGTGTGTAGGAGCAAGATAATGAAGTTGGTCTCATTGATGTTGATTGTTTTTTACTGACAACTAGGTGTAGTCCTTATAATAGGTATTGACAACCGGAGCTCACTGACCTGTTGGTAAATTCTGCCCCCAACTGAAGCAGGAATAGAAATCCCCAGAGGCTGGCCAATCACACCCCAGCCTGACACTCAGCTTCCCACCTCTGCAGTCCTTTGGTGTATTCTGTTAGTGCTTTCCCAGAATTCAGGCAGGAAATAAACTTCTTAGGAGAAGCCGAGTAATGCGAGTAATCAATTGAGACTTACTCATTTTATTTGGTTAAATGGGAAGCGTTATCCAGTAACTGCAACTCTAGCAAGAAAATCTTTTTCTGGGAACTCCTCACAGACTACCCTCTCCTCTCTCATTTCTGGTGGTTTCAGCAGAGAACCAGTGATGGAAGAAAAAAGGCATTTGGGATGAGAGCGAGAGGCGAGTGACAGTAGAGGAAAGAACTAATCTAAGACATTTTCATCATGGTCAGGGATTCTGTCTACTGCAAGGGCTCAATAAAAGTTTTTGAAAAAATTCTCCATTTGCTTTTTATTATAACCCATTACACAATCCTCAACAATTCCTGTTAATATTTTGATAACTAACATTTTAATACTTTTCTTTAAGGCCTGGATGTGATAAAATAGCTCTGGTCACTTACCCGGTCATTCAAAAGCTGATGGTTTAGAGGTGTCCAGGTACTCATCTTTGTCTGCATTTTGGGACCATCTATGCTTTTTGGTGGTGCAAATGCCATCATGAAATAACGGAATATTTTTCCATAAGAAAAACCATACCTATCAGAAGAAATGAATCTTATAATCTTCAGAATACTAAAAGTACTAATACCATACCATCTTTTAGTACATTGAGAGAGAAAATTGGGAGGGGGGAGAACATTTACCTGGAGAATTTTATAGGTCAGGCACTTTATATGCATGCTCAATTAAAGCTCATAACAATCTGGCAAGGTGGTGGGTTTTAGCTCATTTTATAGATGAAGAAAATGAGGTTCATTGACATTACACACCCTGCCTAAGTTTATACAGACAGTAGGTTGTGGAACTAGAAATCAGATCAGGTCTATTTAAATCACTCTTCGCTAAGAACATACCCTAATGGCCAGAAAGAAGTATTTTAATTTGTAAAATCATAGTGCAATAGAAAGTTCTCCATCCTGGCCCCTTGTGTCTTTCTTCCTCCCCCCTTTGTGATATCTAAGTAACAAGGGTTCTAGCTTGATACCATATTTAAGAAGTAGAATGATGTAATGGACAAAGCCAAGCCTTAGAGATGGACAGATTTGGGTTTACCGGGGGAAATGTGCTATTTTTAGATGCCCAGTATAGGTTTACATTCATTTGATTAAAACATTTTAATTTCCATGAAGAACTACTTTCCCCTCATTGTTTAGAATATGCTGGGTTGGTTAATCAAGGTGGCCTCACCTTCTCCAGCTAAGACGTGGTCATGAGACCAAGCTAAGCCAGTTGGACTGACGCTAGCTCATCCTAAACTTGACAGCTGAGGTGGTTGTTCACAATAGCATCGATGCTCTGTTAAGTTGCTTCTGCTGCCTTATCCCTCAGAAGACCCTTGTCCTTTCTTGCCCATTTTTTGTGAGCCACCTGATATCCTTGCAGTAAATTTCTTCTTCCCACTTACTTACGTTACAAATATTACATTTGCTTACATTAAAAAATTACAAAACTTTTTACCGTTATACAGGTTTGATCCTGGCTTTAAAACTTACTAGCTGCATAATGTTTTGCAAATTATTCAGTCTACCTGAGCATTTAATCTATCTGCATCTACCTTCAACCACTGTTTTGAAGATTGGAGAAAATGGGTCCAGCAGAGTGCCTGACAAATGGGCAGTTTCAGTAACTATTAACTTTCCTGCAATCTTTCTTAGAACTTTACAGAGTGCCTCAAAACCTATCAGAGGGGGGCGCCTGGGTAGTTCAGTTGGTTGAGCATCTGCCTTCAGCTCAGGTCAGGCTCAGGGTCAGGTTCCCTGCTCAGTGGGGAGTCTGCTTCTCCCTTTCCCTCTACCCCTCTCTCTGCTCATGCTCTCTCTCTCTCAAATAAATAAAATTGTAAAAAAAAAAAAAAACTATTAGAGGGCCATAGCAAAATATTTTAAGGTGGAAAACACTTAAAGCAGATTGATGATAGTTTCAATATTACATCCTCAGAGTTTCTGCTTGCTTCTGCCTTCCTTCCTCTCTGAAGGTGGGTTTCACATCAGAAGGTGGTAGTGGTGACTGAGAGAGCCAGGGCTTACCTGCATGATCTATGGGCTCCAAAAATTACTCTACAGAACCAAAGATTGGACAATTAAAAAAACAAACAAACATTACTTTTTGGTTGATATGGGATTCCCCCAAAAGCTAGATCTGAAATCTTTGAGGCTCTCCCTTGACAGGTAATATTCACTCTCAGGTTTGAGTTATAGCTGAGATAAAGCCAGTGTTTGAAAACCACAGGGACATCATTACACAATCCTTCTTGGCAGTTGCCTACTGCCACCAAACCACTGGTATCAAGTGGACTCACATCAGCACTCACGTTCTTCCCAACCTCTAACACCTAATTATCTGAGTCACACATGTTTAACCAAATTGCAAAAGGTATAAGAAATTATTTCATTACAGTATTATTAATTGGCAGCTATAAAAGTATGTGTGAGTGGGCAAATTATAGATACAAAGCATGGTCTCTGAGCCTAGATCTCCCCAGTTAAAAATCACGTATTTCTTTTTTTTTGTATTGTTCTTATTTATGTCTGATCTTTCCTCTTTAAATCAGCTGTTGTTTTTAATCTTTTTTTTTTGAGAGCCATAAAACTCTTCGAGAACATAATGAAAGCTATGAATCCTTTCCCTACAAAACTGCACATGAACATAAAATTTTGCTTACCCCAGGTGAAAAACTCCCGCTATAAGCTGAGAACTTTCTAGTTTGTGGAGGAAACAAGCTAGGCACAATTTCTGAATTAAGACAAAGTAGCTTCTCTTGGGCTTTCCTAAGGCTCTGCACTGGATATTTTCTTTTTCCTGGTTCCTAATAGAAATTATTTGAATTAGACTTTCTTCAATCAGCTTGGTTTTCAGATGGGACTGGCCAAGAGAGACAGCCCTCTTGGTAATATGGTCCTGCTGAAGCATTCAAATGGGGTTGTCCTGCCCTTGCTTTCGTCATTATCCTTTAGTGGTTTTTTCCTCCTTCTTCCATTCCAGAAGATGGGCACTGTACATATCTGCATGCACACACATGTTCACGGCATAAACACTCAGGACGATTACAAAGACAGACATTTTTATATAACGTACACAAGAAAGAAGTGTCCCCACTCTGTCAACAAGACAAAGCAAGTTGTCTTCCTCTCCTTCCACATATAAGCTTGCTGTTGTTTTTGGTGTGACCTCTTTTCACCTTAAGGGCTGTCTTTGAATGTTGATCTTTAATTTTTCTCTGAATGAAATGGAAGAAAGGGGTGCCTGGGTGGCTCAGTCAGTTGAGTGTCTGCCTTCGGCCCGGGTCATGAGCCTGGGGTCCTGGGATTGAGCCCCACATTGGGCTCCCTGCTTAGTGGGGGGTCTTGCTTCTCCCTCTGCTCCTCACCCCACTTGTGCTCTCTCTCTCATAAATAAATAAAATCTTAAAAATATATATTAAAAAAAAGAAAAGGAAGAAAGAGGGTCTTTGGCCCTAATCCTCAATGTAGGGTTCTAGTTCAACAGCTAGGATGGGTCCTCTGGTAAAGTTTCAATGGTCACAAACCTCCAATCCCATTTTCTGAGCCATTCCTCACACTGCAACCATTATTTGACTTTACTAAGGACCTATTAGTCCTGTGTCAGGGGTACAAAGATAAGAGTCTCTGCTTTAATAGAGCATGCAGTCTACTGTTAGAGAGGGTTTTTTGTGGGGTTTTTTTTTTTTTGCAAAAAAATGTATATACTTACAGTGTACAACTTGATATTTTGATATATGTATACATTGTGAAATGATTACGAAGTATTTAACACATCCATCACCTCCCATAGTTACCATTTGTGTGTGTGTGTGTGTGTGTGTGTGTGTGTATGTGTGTGGTGAGAACACTTGAGAACTACTCTCTTACTAGTTTTCAAGTATAAAACATATTATTACTAATTATAGTCACCATGCAGGATATTAGATCTCCAGAACTTACTCATCTTATAACTGAAAGTTTGTACCCTTGGATCAATGTCTCCCCATTTCCTTCACCCCCCAGCCTCTGGTAACCACCATTCTACTAAGGGAAATATTTTTTAAAAGACCAGTTGAGGGGCACCTGGGTGGCTCAGGGGGTTAAGTCTCTGCCTTCAGCTGATCCCAGGGTCCTGGAATGGAACCCAAGTTGGGCTCTCTGCTAGGCGGGGAGTCTGCTTCTTCCTCTCCCTCTGCCTGCTGCTTCCCCTGCCTTTGCATGCTCTCTTTCTCTTCCAAATAAATTAATAAAATCTAAAAAAAAATTTGATTTTTTTAAAAAAGTGACACAGTTGATTGTGTCACTTTTCAGCTCAAAAACCTTCAGAGGCTCTCTGATGGCTACAACATAATCAGAGTCCTTAGCGTGGAAGTCTAGGTCCACTATGAATTTACCTCAATCTACCTTTTCTGCCTCATCCCCCGCTCTCTCCCTTCATGCACTATCTGCCCAGACACAATGAACTTTGGTACAAAACAACTAGTACAGAACTCTGATGCTTCTTTCCTCATGCGGTTTTCTTACGTTGCTCACGTGAATCCTAATCCCAGTGCCACATAATTGGTGCTCAAATATTTGTCAAATCAACTGAATGAACGAATACAATAGTGGTGAAGAAGCAGTTTAAAAATTAAAACTAATAGAAATGTAGGATAAAACTCAGAACATTATGCATTGAGCACTGGAATTAAACTCAGGACTATCGGGGTTTTATTTGGAATTTACAGAGCAGAATAGGATTGAGTTTCTCTGCCAACACACATTGTACATTGCAGTATCATCAGAGAAGAAAATTATATCAACATGAAACAAGGTATGGTTAGATTTAAATACAAATTCATCTTATATTCAACTAGTTAGAAACAAAGCAAAAGCTACACTAAAGACAAAGAGCTAGTGTTTGATAGGCACAGAAATAAATTGTTGTTGTTAATTTCGTAAGTATGAAGCATCTGGCACTTCAACTGCAGTTGAAACGGAGCAAAATGTAATCCCCCGGAGCACTAACAAGGTTTCCGAGAGGCCCAAGAGGATCTCAGAGTGGAGCTCTGAAAAGAGTCTCCATCCTTTTCACGCACTGCCCACTGCTCTCACCTCTTTCAGCTCACCTCCCTCTTCAAGCCTCAAGCGCTGGTGTTGCCATGGCAGCCTTTTCTTTGCCTCTGTCCAGCCCCCACCCTTCTTCCAGTAATCCAATCACTACCTATAAATCCTTTCGCTGGCATCCGGGGTCTCTTAGGCAACAATGTGTGGTCTCTTGATTGGTCAAGAGATTCGGAAGGGTTGGCTCCAAAACTCGGCATACGGATATTAAAAAGCCCGAAGCCAAGAGGGTGGGAGGGGCAGCAATCTCCCAATATAATGCTGGGAGAAAGATGTGTCCAATCCTAACACAAGCAGCACTGACAGGCACTCAAGACATATTTGTGTTCCAACTGAGGTCGACCTACTGAGCATGCCCAATTATATTTCTCTGGTCATTCCGGGGCTCCGAAATGTAAATTCCACTTTTCCGGGTTTTAAGAGTGGCCAACAGGTAAAACAGGGTAGGAGGAAAAAGAACTCGCCGCTGGTTCAATGGAAGAATAGCACCTGCAACCGGAAGTGGAAGGACGTGGGAAAATTGCCCAACAAACAAACTCACAAATGCTTCAACAGGAATTTCAACAGGAATTCAGGCTGACTGACAGATACACCAGGGAACCAGCAGATGGCATGGCTTAATAAGAATAACTACAAATTTCGAAAATTTTACAGCCCGGTCTAATTTAATTAAATCTCTTGAGCACCCGCCATGTAATAAGGGGCAGAGTGAGAACACAAGGATAAAAAAGATCTAATGAGAAAGACTGGAAAATGCAGTGTGTAAATAACAAATATAAGGCCCACATTGATAACTGTTGTGATAGAACTATAAACACGTGCTGGAGAACAACCAAAAATTCAAAATTCCAGACGGAGCTACTTCAGTAAATATAAAGCAGTTCCTATGGGCAGCAGGTAACAACAACAAAAAGACAAAACAAAAACCCCTCAAACCTTCACTATCTTATGCTTCCTAAAGTAGATAAGAATATGCTCTCCTCCAACTTAAACAAATGTAAACCTATGTTTGTATTGTTTCATAGTTTTGAAATAGACAGCATTTGTATATCTCCAACTTGAAATAGAAGAGTGAAGCTCATAGAGATTGTTGCTTCCCCTGAGTTAACAAAGGATCTGTAAGTGGCCAAATTGAAATTGGAACCTAGGTTGTCGGAATTCCAGCCTCGTGGTTTTTCCACATGATCAGGTTGTATGTAAATGAATAAACAAAGCCTTTGGTGGCGGGTAGGGGTCTGGGGGAGGCAGTCAACGCAATACTAAATTACCATGTACAGTATTACCAGTTAACATTTATAGTTTCAAAACGGGTTCATCCAGAAAGAGACCAGTTTTAACAACATGCTATGTCTCTCTGTGAAGTTCCCACTCATTAAAAACTTTCTATTGGTGGTTACAACATGGAATGAAAGAGAGATGGGATAAAAGAAACCATCTCACTTTATCCCTGTTGAATTTGCATAATTTTATACCTGAAAATAAGCTGCCTGTCGACTGTCCTCTCAACCAGCACCCTCTGGGCATCTGCTTATCCAGCACCTCATCCGTCTAACTGCAGATGCTCCTTTCCCCTCTGACCTGAATGACATCAGTCAGGCTATGTTCAGAGTGAACACACCAGCTCAATGTCTGAAATACTTCAACATTACTTCAAACATAAAGATAAATTTAGAGACTACATAAGAAACACCCTTGTATCCCCACCAAAAATTTTAAAAATATTAACATTGTTGCTTCATGTGTGTGATTAACATTCAGAAGCCCCTTTTGTATACTTTACAGATCTGATTCCCCTCTCTGCCTGTCTAGAGGCAACCACTATCTATGAAATTGGTGTGTAACCTACTTGTCCATTTTGTTACGCTTTTTATATGTAAGCATAAACAATATGGCTAGATGTTTTTAAAGAGATACGATAATTTACGTATCTTGTAGTTCGCTTTTTTCTTTTTTTTAAAGATTTTATTTATTTATTTGACAGAGATTGAGACAGTGAGAGAGGGAACACAAGCAGAGGGAGTGGGAGATGGAGAAGCAGGCCTCCTGCTGAGCAGGCTGGGCTTGATCTCTGTGACCTTATCCGAAGGCAGATGCCTAACAACTGAGCAGCCGTCCCTAGTTCGCTTTTTTCAATGTTATATTTTTGAGATTTAATCATGTTGATACATGCAGTGATAATTTCTACATCACTCCCACCTTCCCATTAGAGGTATGATATGTCCTATGCCTGACAGTTTTCATGGGATGGTGTGTGAATTGCATAAAAATACATTAGCTGCACGTCCTCAGAGGTTCTGCAAGTACAAAGGATCTGGTAATACATGAAGCAAGCACACACAGATTTTCACATACACGATTTGCCTCCTCACTCACCCTCAGAAAAGGCAGTGTTGGCTCAACAGGACATACTGACTTGCTTAGAATCAGCTGAAGGATCAGTATTACTTAAAAAAAAAAAACTGTTACTGCACAAATATTTACTAAGAAAATTGAAATGTCACTTCAGTCTCATTTATTATGCTTTTCCCCATAGTTCACCATCTGATGTTAAACTATATTTATGACTGTCTAAGCTCAATACTCATTATTTATTTAACACTTATTGAGTACCTTTTAAAAATTGTGGTAAGGGGCGCCTGGGTGGCTTAGTCGGTTAAGTGGCTGCCTTCGGCTCAGGTCCTGATCCTGGGGTCCTCGGATCGAGCCCCGCATCGGGCTCCCCGCTCAGCGGAGAGCCTGCTTCTTCCTCTCCCTCTGCCTGCCACTCTGCCTACTTGTGCTCTCTCTCTGTCAAATAAATAAATAAATAAAATCTTTAAAAAAAAATAAAAAAAAATAAAAATTGTGGGGAAATACACTTCACATAAAATTTACCATTTTAACCATTGTTTAAGTGTACAGTTGAGTAGTGGCAAGTATACTCACATTGTTGTGCAACAGGATCAATATTACTTTAAGACCCATGTGCTATCAACAGAACAAAATGATGCCTGTGACGTCTAGCTTGCAAAGGGAGGAAAAGGAAGCGAAAGGTAGGTAAAACAGCATAGTAAAAAGGACACTTTGGCTTTGAATGAATCCGGACTCCTATTAAAAAGCTGCGTGACCCTGGGTAAGTCATTTAACCTTTCTGAGCGTTCTTTTCCTCGTCTGAAAAACGAGAGATTGGGTTTAGATGACTTTTAAGGACTCTTTCAGCTCTGAAATGATTTATGTAGAAGAGGAGGGAAACATTTTCTACGGAGAAAAAGATCGGGTAATGCTACCAATAACCACAAGCTCCACCTGGGCACTAAGGTGTTGGCCACGCGGATATAAACTGTTCCCAGGCAGGTATCCAGTCTAATCTGTTGTTTAAGCGTGAAGCTCTGCAACACGCCAGACGCTTACTCCTATCTGCACCCAGTGCCACCCTCAACATCCGTAACCTTACTCTTGACAACTCCAATCCCCGGGGGTCCCTAGGTCAGCACACTAGTTCTCAGAACAGGTTTTCGCGGTCTTGCAAGAACAGCATCCCGGGCTTGGGTGATGATGAGTCGCCGCGCTTTCTCAGCAGGGAAGGTAGGGCTTTGCAAAGAGGACTGAGTGCATTTAAGAAAAACGTTTCCAGAGTTCAAAAGCCCTCCGCCGGGGCAGGACAGTGCAAGGCGTCAACCGAGGCACGAGGTAGGGAACAACCCAGCCCAGGGAGCCGGTACCTCTCAGCCGGGCTCAAAATGGGAGCGTTCGGTCGAGTGTGCGCAGCGCGCCTGCGTCGTGCGTGCGCGCGCGGGCTTGCCCGCTCCCCGGGCCGCGCGCGCCGGCGCTCCCGAAAGCTCGCGTTCGCTCCGAGGCGGCGCGCGCTGTTGGTCCTCGCTGGCTCCGTTTACCTGAGGGACCCACGGCCGCCCCGGGCCGGCGCTGCAGCCCCCTTGGAGCCCGGCCCCGAGGTGTGAGGTGAGCGACGAGGCGTGCGGCTCCCCGTCCGGCTTAGCTGGAAAAGGGCGCGGGCAGTGTGGGGAATGAGGAGGTGCCGCCGCGGCTGCCCGCTCCTCTGCCTAACCCTGTGCTGAGGAGCCACCAGCAGCTCCGGCACCTCCTCCTCAGGGATCGTTATTCTCGTCGCGGCCAAAACAAAAGCCTTCGGCGCCAGGCTGTGTGTGGGGGGGTGTCGGAGGGGCTCCTCGGGACCCACGGCGGGCCGGAGGGGTGCGGAGGAGCCGAGTTTGGGGTGCGGGCTGAGGTGGGCAAATGCTCGGGAGATTATTAACCCTCTGCATCCTAAACCCGCTCTGGGCAACCTGTGCGAGTGTGGACCACGGCTCCCTCTCCGCCACCCCCGGCCCAAACCCTAGGCGGAGGAGGACGTTTGGGGTGGGCGCCCACTCCGTGGGTCGGCGCCGCGGGGGCGCGTGGCGCTCTTCGCTCGCGGGAGCGTGGGTGGAGGACGCGGTGGCGGCGGCGGCGGCCGGGGGGAGGACAATGCATCTAGGGCTCCGGCGCCCCGGGCGCTTGGGGCGGGCCCGAGACCCACGTTAGAATTGCCCCTTGCCTAGATGTTGTTTTAGCATTTGGCCGACCTCTTATTTCCAACGCCTAAAAGTTGTCCCCTCCATCCCATCAGTTTCCAAAGTCTGCACTCCCTCCCAAATGCTTCCCCCAGCTGCCCTCTTTTATGCTAATGTGTATTTGCCGTGAGGGTACTGTTGGGTAATTAATAGATGGCCTCTCAAATAAAGGTGCTGTAAAAAACATTTCAAGACATTTTAACATCTTCCCAGAAGCTCGTTAAATCTCAGGAGTCTTGGAGTTAGGTGCCTCCTTGTAAGAGAAAGAGGGCTTTTTCTTTCTTTTTTTTAGAACAAAAGCGCATGCCATTAATTTAGGCATGGGATAGATTTGAGGTTGAAAAATATCTACCCAATAAAGGAGGTCCAATTTTTTGCCCAGAATTAAAATGAAATTTTGAATTTTGGTTCCTTTCTGAATTTGGGCAGATGCAGCAGCAGAGCAGAACAACAGCTATAAAAATGACTGCTGTATAAAAGTATCCAAAACAAAATCTTATTTTATAAAAGT